ATCACTCAACATATCTTAATATTACAATAAATCACGTCACTTCCGAGACCCCGAATGACGCGCTTAGTTAAATGTCAGGCTCTTCTCCTTTTATACCCGTGGAACATACCATTTCATCTCCAATAACTAAAATGGTTGATCACATCACCACAATCATATAAACGAGTCTTTCCACTCCTCGCAGGAAACAGATTAGATATTAAAGTGATGTGTTTAAGACAGACAATAGACTATTCTAAGAAAAGTAACTGATGTGCAGTGTCAACCATTATTCATTTCCACATTTCTCGAATTTCAAAATGCATTTTTTGTAAAAGTCATCGAAGTGATAGACGAAGCACTTTTGGCCGTCCGCTAGTGTGGCTCTCGGCCAGGATCAGTCCACAGTAATATAGCGTCTGTCGAGTAAGTGTTTTTCCATTTCTGCTCAGCCAAAAATCGCTGCGAGCGTGAACTCTGGATGTGTAGGTCATTCTAAACGTCATGGTATGTGCATGTACACATGATGTTGAGCGTGTTTGTCATGTTTTAATGGTTCATTCGGATTGTGATAAACACACACTCTCTGAGTGCCGCTTCAGTCCAGGAGGTGAGAGGGTCAGTTTGGCCTTGAGAAAATGCTCGACGGCACATTTTCCTGTTGTTCTTGGCCGTGATATTGATGATGAAATGGGACACTCTATAAAAAGCGACACTAGCGAAGCCTTCGTGAGCTCAGATCACTCAATATTCTCCCTCAGGGCTGCATTTATCTCTCCTCTGAGGAGTCTTGCTCTCATCGCTCTTTATCTCTCTGGGACATTAAGTGTGACAAATCCAATTACGGCTCGCCTCGGTAATTAGCATTAGTGCCAACGTTTATGATTGTCATTTATTTACCAGTCCTAAGGTGCAACAATATTGTAAGCGTACGTTAAACCTGTCATTCACTGTGAAGAGCTGCTCTAAACGTTTCTGCATAAACCCTGGTGATGTACGGCGCCTGAAACACATTGCATTTATGATATCTGCCTTTTCTTGATGCATTGTGCTCCTGTGAGAGAGAAACTCGCCTGCTGAGACTCATTTGAGCCCTGAGAGAGAGAGAGAGAGACAGAGAGAGAGAGACAGAGAGAGAGAGACTGTGTTGAGAGGAA